ATGCAGTTGGACTGTAGAAAGCTCTTTATGATTCTGCCATCCTGGTATATTATGCAGTTGTTCTGTAGAAAGCTTTTTATGATTCTGCGATCCTGGTACCTATATTATGCAGAAAGCTCTTTATGATTCTGCGATCCTGGTACTCATATCATGCAGTTGTTCTGTAGAAAGCTCTTTATGATTCTGCGGTCCTGGTATATTATGCAGTTGTTCTGTAGAAAGCTCTTTATGATTCTGCCATCCTGGTATATTATGCCGTTGTTCTGTAGAAAGCTCTTTATGATTCTGCGATCCTGGTATATTATGCCGTTGTTCTGTAGAAAGCTCTTTATGATTCTGCCATCCTGGTATATTATGCCGTTGTTCTGTAGAAAGCTCTTTATGATTCTGCGATCCTGGTATATTATGCAGTTGTTCTGTAGAAAGCTCTTTATGATTCTGCCATTCTGGTATATTATGCCGTTGTTCTGTAGAAAGCTCTTTATGATTCTGCCATCCTGGTATATTATGCCGTTGTTCTGTAGAAAGCTCTTTATGATTCTGCCATCCTGGTATATTATGCCGTTGTTCTGTAGAAAGCTCTTTATGATTCTGTGATCCTGGTATATTATGCAGTTGTACTGTAGAAAGCTCTTTATGATTCTGTGATCCTGGTATATTATGCAGTTGTACTGTAGAAATTTCTTTATGATTCTGCGATCCTGGTACCTATATTATGCAGAAAGCTCTTTATGATTCTGCGATCCTGGTACCTATATTATGCAGAAAGCTCTTTATGATTCTGCCATCCTGGTATATTATGCAGTTGTACTGTAGAAAGCTCTTTATGATTCTGCGATCCTGGTATATTATGCAGTTGTACTGTAGAAAGTTCTTTATGATTCTGCGATCCTGGTATATTATGCTGTTGTTCTGTAGAAAGCTCTTTATGATTCTGCGATCCTGGTACCTATATTATGCAGAAAGCTCTTTATGATTCTGCGATCCTGGTATATTATGCAGTTGTTCTGTAGAAAGCTCTTTATGATTCTGCGATCCTGGTACCTATATTATGCAGAAAGCTCTTTATGATTCTGCGATCCTGGTATATTATGCAGTTGTTCTGTAGAAAGCTCTTTCTGATTCTGCGATCCTGGTATATTATGCAGTTGTACTGTAGAAAGCTCTTTATGATTCTGCGATCCTGGTACCTATATTATGCAGAAAGCTCTTTATGATTCTGCGATCCTGGAATATCATGCAGTTGTACTGTAGAAAGATCTTTATGATTCTGCCATCCTGGTATATTATGCCGTTGTACTGTTTGTAGAAAGTTCTTTATGATTCTGCGATCTTGGTGTATCATGCAGTTGTACTGTAGAAATTTCTTTATGATTCTGCCATCCTGGTATTTTATGCCGTTGTACTGTAGAAAGCTCTTTGTGATTCTGCGATCCTGGTATATTATGCAGTTGTACTGTAGAAAGTTCTTTATGATTCTGCGATCCTGCTACCTACCTATATTATGCAGAAAGCTCTTTATGATTCTGCCATCCTGGTATATTATGCAGTTGTAGTGCAGAAAGCTCTTTATGATTCTGCGATCCTGGTATATTATGCAGTTGTACTGTAGAAAGTTCTTTATGATTCTGCGATCCTGGTACCTACCTATATTATGCAGAAAGCTCTTTATGATTCTGCCATCCTGGTATATTATGCAGTTGTACTGTAGAAAGCTCTTTATGATTCTTCCATCCTGGTATATTATGCAGTTGTACTGTAGAAAGCTCTTTATGATTCTGCCATCCTGGTATATTATGCAGTTGTACTGCAGAAAGCTTTTTACGATTCTGCGATCCTGGTACCTATATTATGCAGAAAGCTCTTTATGATTCTGCCATCCTGGTATATCATGCAGTTGTACTGTAGAAAGCTCTTTATGATTCTGCCATCCTGGTATATCATGCCGTTGTTCTGTAGAAAGCTCTTTATGATTCTGCCATCCTGGTATATTATGCCGTTGTTCTGTAGAAAGCTCTTTATGATTCTGCCATCCTGGTATATTATGCCGTTGTTCTGTAGAAAGCTCTTTATGATTCTGCGATCCTGGTATATTATGCCGTTGTTCTGTAGAAAGCTCTTTATGATTCTGCCATCCTGGTATATTATGCCGTTGTTCTGTAGAAAGCTCTTTATGATTCTGCGATCCTGGTATATTATGCCGTTGTTCTGTAGAAAGCTCTTTATGATTCTGCGATCCTGGTATATTATGCCGTTGTTCTGTAGAAAGCTCTTTATGATTCTGCGATCCTGGTATATTATGCAGTTGTTCTGTAGAAAGCTCTTTATGATTCTGCCATCCTGGTATATTATGCCGTTGTTCTGTAGAAAGCTCTTTATGATTCTGCGATCCTGGTATATTATGCCGTTGTTCTGTAGAAAGCTCTTTATGATTCTGCGATCCTGGTATATTATGCCGTTGTTCTGTAGAAAGCTCTTTATGATTCTGCGATCCTGGTATATTATGCAGTTGTTCTGTAGAAAGCTCTTTATGATTCTGTGATCCTGGTATATTATGCAGTTGTACTGTAGAAAGTTCTTTATGTTTCTGCGATCCTGGTACCTATATTATGCAGAAAGCTCTTTATGATTCTGCGATCCTGGTACCTATATTATGCAGAAAGCTCTTTATGATTCTGCCATCCTGGTATATTATGCAGTTGTACTGTAGAAAGCTCTTTATGATTCTGCGATCCTGGTATATTATGCAGTTGTACTGTAGAAAGTTCTTTATGATTCTGCGATCCTGGTATATTATGCTGTTGTTCTGTAGAAAGCTCTTTATGATTCTGCGATCCTGGTACCTATATTATGCAGAAAGCTCTTTATGATTCTGCGATCCTGGTATATTATGCAGTTGTTCTGTAGAAAGCTCTTTATGATTCTGCGATCCTGGTACCTATATTATGCAGAAAGCTCTTTATGATTCTGCGATCCTGGTATATTATGCAGTTGTTCTGTAGAAAGCTCTTTCTGATTCTGCGATCCTGGTATATTATGCAGTTGTACTGTAGAAAGCTCTTTATGATTCTGCGATCCTGGTACCTATATTATGCAGAAAGCTCTTTATGATTCTGCGATCCTGGTATATCATGCAGTTGTACTGTAGAAAGCTCTTTATGATTCTGCCATCCTGGTATATTATGCCGTTGTACTGTTTGTAGAAAGTTCTTTATGATTCTGCGATCTTGGTGTATCATGCAGTTGTACTGTAGAAATTTCTTTATGATTCTGCGATCCTGGTACATATATTATGCCGTTGTTCTGTAGAAAGCTCTTTATGATTCTGCGATCCTGGTACCTACCTATATTATGCAGAAAGCTCTTTATGATTCTGCGATCCTGGTATATTATGCAGTTGTTCTGTAGAAAGCTCTTTATGATTCTGCGATCCTGGTACCTATATTATGCAGAAAGCTCTTTATGATTCTGCCATCCTGGTATATTATGCAGTTGTACTGTAGAAAGCTCTTTATGATTCTGCGATCCTGGTACCTACCTATATTATGCAGAAAGCTCTTTATGATTCTGCGATCCTGGTATATTATGCAGTTGTACTGTAGTAAGTTCTTTATGATTCTGCGATCCTGGTACCTACCTATATTATGCAGAAAGCTCTTTATGATTCTGCCATCCTGGTATATTATGCAGTTGTACTGTATAAAGCTCTTTATGATTCTGCGATCCTGGTATATCATGCAGTTGTACTGCAGAAAGCTTTTTACGATTCTGCGATCCTGGTACCTATATTATGCAGAAAGCTCTTTATGATTCTGCGATCCTGGTACTCCTATCATGCAGTTGTACTGTAGAAAGCTCTTTATGATTCTGCGATCCTGGTATATTATGCAGTTGTAGTGCAGAAAGCTCTTTATGATTCTGCGATCCTGGTACCTATATTATGCAGAAAGCTCTTTATGATTCTGCGATCCTGGTACTCATATCATGCAGTTGTACTGTAGAAAGCTCTTTATGATTCTGCCATCCTGGTATATCATGCCGTTGTTCTGTAGAAAGCTCTTTATGATTCTGCGATCCTGGTATATTATGCAGTTGTACTGTAGAAAGCTCTTTATGATTCTGCGATCCTGGTATATTATGCAGTTGTACTGTAGAAAGCTCTTTATGATTTCTGCGATCCTGGTACCTATATAATGCTGTTTTTCTGTAGAAAGCATTTTATGACTTCTGCGGTCGTGGTACCTATAATATTATATTTGGAAGGCGATAAAATAAAATTTAATTTGGGTGGGGAATGGTGCTTGTGATAAAACGAACTTAACATGAGGAAATGTGGATGCAGAAACATGTAGAAATAGAAAATAACCAATTGACTTTGGACTATTGTAAGCTTTATTGTGAGCTTTATTGGAATCGGCCAACGTGGCAATGGTTGAGGCGTCGTGCACACATAAATAACCTACAGTCGGTGGCGCTGTGTGCTGGGTTGTTCCGTTCCCAATAAAAAGGTTGACCGGACCAATTGTTGACACACACGTCATACTCGTTAACGGGTGCCTTCTGCTAGGTCAGGTCGGCTCTCCCATCTTGTTGGTGGGCTGATTTCATAGAGCCTTCGAAACAGAAAGAAATTGAAAATGCCTAATTATTATGTAATTTATACTTTTAGTAATGATTATAGATGTAGTTAATTGTAGTATGTAACTAGGTTCCCTCTTTACTTTATAAAAATTGACTAGATGTATTATAATAAAAAAACTGTATGACAAGGGCACGGACCTAGAGTCCGTGGAGAATTAATCTGTAATATTATATAAAAAAAATTGTATGAATAACAGACATTTTGTGTATTATTGATCTTTTCCCGGTACTTTCTTGACAGAATGGTATTATTTTTTACTTGATGGGCCGACGTTTAGCCATCTTGCCTGGTAGAAAGCGGTGATGCATTTTTTAGCAATGGCATTTGTCAACTGCAAACTGGTGTCATTTTATATCAGGAGACGGAGTTATGGCACGGCTACCCCACCCGTGTGCATGTGTCGACGAACGAGACGCTCAATGTCGACAATCCTGTTTTTGTGACCGCGACCCAGCAGAAAGGTAAGTCATCATCACTACATAGTATGAAACAAAGTCGCTATCCGCCGTCTGTCTGTCCCTATGTATGCTTAGATCTTTAAAACTACGCAACGGATTTTGATGCGGTTTGTTTCAATAGATAGAGTGATTCTTAACACGTTAACCCCGTAAACCTTCAGCAGTTTTCTAAACATAACATAACATCACGTCTTTTATCCCTGAAGGGGTAGGCAGAGGTGCACACAGAAGTAATACCCAGTTTTCACTATTTATGTTATGAGTCCCATGTAATAGGGAGTGAGCCTATTGCCATATACCACAATTCCAGAGTCCGTGCTACTACTGTGAATTTAAAAAGACCCAGTAATACTTTGCCTGACCCGGGAATCAGAGACCGGCTGTCAAATAACTGTCACTTGCGAACACTCGGCCAACGAGCCAGTCAACACATTATGATAACATCGTCTGAGTGACCGGAACCCCCATCCTTAATCCTTTAATCTTGCGAATTAACACGGATAGTAAAATCCCAACGAACAACTGTTAGGTAGAAAGCCTGCGGAGAATCTAACGGGTAACCGGGGCTCCGGCTCGACGTGCAGAGGAAGGAACGGGTTTTTAGTCAGAAAGAGTCTGACACTCCCTCCCGCCTCACCCAGGCGGGAGCAGTCATTCAATGATTTTCCCCCCTTAAAAAAAAAGCCTGCCACGAACACCTTGCCTGCTCGGAGGATCCTCCTTTTCTGATCTTAGGGAACTTTAGTCTCTGTTCCCTATAGTTCGGTAACCTATGGACACCATAGTGCACCGACTTAGTGAAATTAGCCCTAAATTTCAAAATCCCCATACCCTTAAATGCCGGCAACGCACTTGTACCTTCCTAACTCCTCTAGTGTTGTGTCCATGGGCGGCGTCGATTGCTTAACTTCAGGTAATCCGTCTGCTCCGCCCCCCTATAATTTTGATGAGAGAATATCGTCCTGGGTGAGGCGAGAGGGAGTGTCAGACACTTACTGATTGAACAAAGATTCTTCATCATTTTACTTGTCTTTTTCATAGGCGTATCATCATGGGAGCTTCCATTACTGGTGCAGACACAGAGTGGAGCGCTGATGTTCTCCAGTATGGCGCGGACACTCTGTCCACATGACGCGGGACCAGGTGAGTCGAGGAGACGGTGCTAGTGTCGTCAATGTCACAATAGGGCTATTGTATTTTGGCTCACCTCGGGACATACTCTTGAATCCAATTCCGATCGATTGACATTGGTATTGTGAAATTTCGTTGCATTCGTATTGCGTGGATATTGAATGAACTAAATGGTATTGAGTTTAGCTTTATATTCCGTACTCTGAATGTTATTTTAACAGCTACGATAGGGGTTGCATAGTGTTGACATTGAATAATAGGTGGTAGATGTCTAATTTTTATTTTAATGTCCGTCTGGTAGATTATTTTAAATCATTACACACGTATTTTTTATCTTCTTACAGAAACGAATACTTTCGACGATAAATTGATTTGAATTGTAGCGTGCGCGTGACGTCACTTCTATGTACACTTGATTCGTTTTATCAAAGTATTGTTTAATTACACGACAAAATAAAAAATACGTGTCTAATATTTTTTCATTACCTAACTGACGGACTTATTAGATTTTTAATTTTCATACCTTGTCATCTTCCCAATTATTGAGATTTTATTGGATTGAAATTGAATTGACTGACTTGAGATTGGTTTCAAGAGTAAGCACCTAGATGGCGCTACTGCGATCCTTATACTTCCTCCAATAGGAAATTAGGTAGTGTTACACCATTGGACGTTCACTATTGGACAGCTCAAGTGATTGGATATTTTTTTTTTAAATAAAGTAAATAAAATACCTAAATAAGGTTTTAAATATTTTTGTTTGCAAACCTATTGTCTTACCGATACCTAACAATTTTGCTTCATCTATCTCCATTATATGAACCTGTGTATCCCAGATATAAAGTCGGAGAACCGGCCAATGATCCAGATCACGACGTCCAACCCTCGGAACGTGTCCGTTGATATCAAGCTGCGGCGGGTCACTGACTTCTACGTCGATGTCAATAAGGTATAATATTATCTCTACTTTTAAGTAAAACTCAATACTGAGAAGTTTATTCTAAACGGATCTTATAAGAATACAGCGCGGTGCTCGCCCAACTTCCCACCAGAATCGAACGTTACCACTCTTTGCGCGGGAAACTTTACTAATCCTTACTATCCTTACTAATATTATAAATCGGAAAGTGAGTTTATTTGTTTGTTTGTTCCGCTTTCATGCCGTAACTACTAAACCGATTGCTTTGAATTTTTGCAGATGTAAAGTTAGAAGTCTGGATTAAATAATAGGGTACTTTTTATCTCGGAAAAATTTGATACTCTCGAGGGAAAACGAAATTATTAGTATAGATGGCGCTGTGTGTATTGGTATATGTCATATAGGCTACTTTTTATCCTTTTGTGACGCGAGCGAAGCCGCGGGTAAAAGCTAGTCTGTCATATTTGACAGATGACATCGTCAACATGACAGCTAGTGATGTCGATAATACAGATTAAACTAGTGACGTTCATTTAATTGATTTTCGTCGTCTAACACTACATGTAATAAAACTGTACAAGTGTAAATTCTGTACATTGAATACATTAAAAAATTAATAGTAGGGGATTTTATTAGATAGACACCGAAACCAAAAGTGTGATTAAAAAAATGTTTGTCTGTCTGTCTGTCTGTCTGTCTGTTTGTATGTTCACGCATCACGCAAAAACTAGCGGTCTGATTACGATGAAACTTGGTATGATTATACTTTAATATCCTGGGCACAACACTAGCCTTTGGTCAGCAGTGGACACTTATAGGCTGTTGATGTTTCGATTCTCCACTGAGTATTATTTCTTTAACCCCCAGGAGTTATCCCTGAACGCGACCCCGAGTTCTCCGAAGTACTTCTACTTCTCCTTCGACCAGCATCCGTGGAACATCACCGGGGGACCGATGCAGAAGAGCGCCGGCGCAGTGGCACAAAGGTAGGCGAGCAGACGGATCACCTGATGGTAAGCAATCAGCGTCCATGGACACCCGCAACACTAGAGGCGTTATAAACGCATGACCTTCTAGGGGATTGAGGAGTCTTTTTGATAAGCCGGTAAACGAGCAGACGGATTACCTAATGGTAAGCAATCGGCGTCGCCCATGGACACCCGGAACACCAGAGATGTTACGCTTGTAACACCAACGCACTTGCGTTACCTTTTTTTTTGGGATTATGAATTTAAGGATTGTTAGGGGTTCAGCGAAGGAGGCAGGGGTGATTGGGCCTCCGGTAACCTCACTCACACACTCGGCCGTGGTAGCATTCCGATGTTTTGTTGCATTTTAAATAATTATAGTCATTTAGTAGCTTTAAAATAAATTCGTAGTATCCGCTGTGTGACTGGAAATGATTGGATATGAAATAAGTGGTCTAGTCAGTGGGCCTCGCCATGCTTCGGCACTGCTAGGCCGGCTCGACCGGAGTGTTACCACCAACGAGCTGAAAACCATAGTGAAACAACCACAGCGTTGTGTGCAGACGTGTGAGTGACCTTACCGGAGGCACAATTACCACAAAAAAGTGCTGAAGGTCGAATTCATCAACAGCGGGAGATAGTCTACTGCTGGACCAAGAGCCTTCTCTACATAAGAAGGTTTATCATAATCTCCAGTCTTGCCAGATGGGTTGGAGATCTCAGTAAAAAAGGTTCAGGTTTATCAGAGTTGTTATCCAAACAGTTAAATATGTAATCCCTTAGTCGGGTATGTGACACCCGCGGGAAGAGTAGCGGTGGTGAAAAATGGCGTCACCGCATTTGAAGACAAAGACGGTTAAAGAACTAACTAGTCAATAAAACTATGACCTCTGCCTACCCCCTTATATCAATAGCGTATTGTTCTAGGTTCAACTATACAATACCCAAGAGTGTGATCCTGATCATTGAATCTGATGATGACATCTGTGCCACAGTGTCCATACAGAATAACTCGGTAAGTTATACCTTAGTTGTATTAGAATAAGGTACGTTTTGCTTTGATAGTGATTTTGAATGTCTCTGTGTTTGTTACAATGTAAAGTGCACTTTATTGTTTTGGAAATAAAGTTCATTTTCCAATGGTAACGTCTTGCTGACAACTGTTATCTAGGCTGTTGTCTTTCTTCAATAGATTTCCGACTTTATTACAACAATATAAGGTTGCAAATGTATTAAACAAATTGACTGGTCATTAATTTCTATAGACTGATTATACATTTGTATGTATGTTCCAGTGTCCAGTGTTCGACAGTGAGAAGGAAGTGCTGTACAAGGGGTACCATCTCACCATGATGAGCAAGGGAGGCATCACATTAACGGTAAGATACAGTTTAGGGGTGGGGGGTCACACTATACAATCCCCTATCCCCCATCCTATATCCTCCATCCTCCAACCCCCATCCCCCATCCTCCGTCATCCGTCCCCCGTCCTGCACTCCATCCTCTATTCCACATCCCCCAATCGCCCATCCCCCAATCCCCCAATCCCCCATCCCCCGTGCCTCATCATCCATCCTCCATATCTTAACATTATACCCCATTCCCCATCCGCCATCCCCTATCTGACGTACCTATTCCCTTCATCCTCCGTTGCCACTAAAAAATATAATATACAAACATAACATAACATCAAGTCTTTTACCCCCGAAGGGGTAGACAGAGGTGCACATTACAGCACTCAATGCCACTGTACAATGTAACACCCACTTTTCACTATTTATGTTATGAGTCCCATGTAATAGTGAGTGAGTCTATTGCCATATACCGGACACACTTCCAGACTCCGTGCTGCTACTGGGAAATTGAACATTGAAATATCTGAACGGATATTGATGAAATTTGGTACACAAGCAGGGTATGGGCTAACTTAGGTAATAGGACTTTTTAGGATTTATAGGACTACCTTGGGATAAAACAGGAATATGCGGGCAAAGCCCCAGATATAAACTAGGTTTACGATAAACATTTTCAAGGCTAATTAACAACCTAGATTTTCAACCTTATCATATTGTAATAGGGTATCCTTTATTCCAGCAATCAATGTTCCCAGCGGGGTTCTACATAGTGTTCATAGTCCGGGAGAGCGACCAGCAGTGTACCGGCTCCAGCACTGCGGCGCACAGCCTCGCTGATGGCAACAGGATGAAGAACTTCAGGTCAGCAACTACATATTCTAAACTACTTACTCCCGCAGCTCCTATTGGTCGTAGCGTGATGTTTATAGCATATACCCTTCCTCGACACATGGTCTATCCCACACAAAAAGAATTGGGTAGTTTCCAGGGTATCAAAATTAAAAATCTAATTAGTCCGTCAGTTAGATAATGGAAAAATATTAGACACGTTTTTTTTTATTTTCTTGTATTTAGTTGCAATACTTAGATAAAATGGCGCTAAGTTTAGGAGTGGGAGATTATTACGTCATAACGTGCTACAAAATGTGGCACGCTGTGACGTCACACGATATTTCAAATTAATATATCGTCGAAAGTATTTAATTCTGTGAGAAAAGAAAAAATACGTGTCTAAAGTTTTAAACTAATGTACCAGACGGACATTAAAATAAAATTTAGGAAACTACCCTATTTTCGTAATCGGCTCAGTAGTTCAGGAGATTATAGCATACCAACAAACAAGTAAAGTCTTCAGCTTTATACAGCGTGCGTCATCTATACATATGTAGACGTGAAACAACGTCGGTTTTTTGCTCGACCACAACGCTTGCGTTGTTTCATCGTGTGTGTGAGGTTACCGGAGGCCCAATCACTCCTCTCCCCAATCTCTTGAATCCCCAATAATCCTCAAATTCCTAATCCCCAAAAGGCCAGTAACGGTCTTATAACACTTCTGGTATTACGGGTTTCCATGGGCGGCGCCGATTGCTTACCATCAGGTAATCCGTCCACTCGTTTACCGGCTTATTCCATAAAAAATACGTTCAGTATGAAATGTATTGATGTAAAATGTGTAAAAAAAATACTTTTTTACTCCTTGAAGTATCTTTAAGTGATGATGATGATGATGACGATGGTGAATATTCCTAGATTCCGCGTGATAGCCACAGTGTCGTACCGGGAGTACGTGGTGGGGGCTCTGGTTACACTGGCGCTGGTCGCCGTGGTGGCTCTGCTCGTGATAGTCGCCGTGCTCGCGTGTACCTGTCGATGTAGTGGTGAGTGCTTTCTGAATTAGTTAAGTCATAGATAGAAAGACAGGCAAACGTAATAGCAGAAATTAAAACACGAAAAACAACATAACATAACATACGCAGAGGTGCACATTACGGCACTTAATTGGTATTAAGTGGTCTGTACAATGTAACTCCCACTTTTCACTATTTATGTTACGAGTCCCATGTAATAGGAGGTGAGCCTATTCTCATATACCGGGCACTATTCCAGGCTCCGTGCAAATTGAGATTTTTTAAAAACCCAGTAGTACTTTACCCGACCCGGAAATCGAACCGATTGAGTGTTACATTGTACAGTGGCATTAAGTACCGTAATGTGCACAACTCTGCCTACCCTTTCGTGGATAAAAAGAGTGATGTTATGTTACAAATATAATTAAAAATCAATAAAATATTAAACTCTACCCCCACTAAAATAAGCTTCACATTTCTCTACTCCATAGAAACAGTAGTGATAGTGGAGTCGGAGCCTATAGCGCATGCGTCGACGTCGGGCGAGGCGAGCGGCGCAGGCGCAGCGGCTGATACTGCGCGGGTATTGGACGACAGTGATGATGATGATGACATCGGAATAGCGGGTAAGTAGCGAACTACACTTTCATATAATTTAAGTAGGTTTTGCTTGCGTTCAATACGGAGTTACTTTCATTAATATTATAAATAGAGAAGCATAAGATATCTTGTTTTGCATTATCACTGTGTATGTTACGTGTATTCTGTTGGAGATACTTTTTAAAATGGTACATTAATATGTAGTAATGTTTTTTATTTTTTTTATACTTACTCCTTAAATACTCTCAACAAGTTTTATCATTGATAAAACTAAAATATTTACACCTTAAAAAAATTTAAATAAATAAATGTAAAAGTTTCTTTGTAACGATGTTTGTCCGTCAATCACGCTGAATCTACTTGACGGATTTTGATGAAATTGGTATACAGGCAGGGTATGGGCTGGCTTAGGTGGTAGGATAGTGCTTTTTATTAAATGGGCCTATGGGATTTTCTTTTTAAGGGGGGAAAATCATCGAATGACATCTCCTGCCTGTGCGAGGCGAGGGAGTGTCAGACTCTTACTGACTAAACACCACCCCGTTCCTACGCGCCGAGTTGTCGCAAGTGCGACTGCCGAGCAGGGGGTCTCGGGTTCGATTCCCGAATCGGGCAAAGTATTACAGAGTTTAAAAAAAATTCTCAGTAGTAGCACGGAGTCTGGAATTGTGCCCGGTGTTTAGCAATAGGCTCACCCCCTATTACATGGGACTCATAACATAAATAGTGAAAATTGGGTGTTACATTGTACAGTGGCATTAAGTGCCGTAATGTAAACCTATGCCTGCTCCTTCGGGGATAAAAGGCGTGATCTTATCAATCTTTCTCTATCTCCTACTCCAGAGATATTTTCTTTATTTTGTATCTTTTCTATTTTTTTGAAGTCTATTAACATTAATATTACCAAGCTTCTGCCCGCAGCCTATATGCATGGCATTTATAATATTGGTGGACCGGTTAGCTCCGGACTGTATCATTTTATTGGCCTTAAGGTTATTTTGGTGTTATATTGTTCTCGCACAATCGAACCAACAAAACTATGTAACTAGAGAATTGTATTGTAAACCTGATTGAAAATGAGTAACCTATGGAGTTTCTTGCTCGTTCTTCTACATAGGAATCTTTTTTTTTTCATATTAAATAGGACCGACGTTTGTCCACTATCTCGCCTGGTGGTAAGCGATGATGTGGCCTACGATGGAGCACGTCGATCTACACTTTGGAACGGGCAAATAGAGCTACTAGAGAACTGACTGACAGACTGATACTTTTAATATTTTGTTTTGACATTCAAAAGTGCCTTCCTGGTCTAATTGAAATAAATGATATTGACTTTGACTTAGTAAGATTTTCATCGATATCATTTCACTTCATTTGTTATTTCATTTTTTCACATCATTGAACCATTTTTAGAATTACTTTATAGCTAAGTATAATTTATCGTTATACTTCGTAGAAGAGAAGTGGTCTCACTCGCACCCACTGACCGTGCAGAAGTTGACGCGAGCGACGCCCGAGACACAGGCGAGGAGATCGGAAAGGTTAGACATATATATTATTTACATATTTTTTACTATAAAAACACATTGCTCCACACTAGGATTTCCTCCTGTGTCGTGTACGTTTACAAACATACAAGTTTACATACACATCACACACAGACCCCGGGACAAATGTTTGTGGATCTCGCAATGAGTTGTTCCGTGCGGGAATCGAACCCGCGACTGCACGGCAGCCAGTTGCCCAGCCACCACACCAACCGTGCAATCAGTCATCATCATGTACGGTCAAAGGTCAAAAGTCCACTGCCACCGTAAGACTACAATCGGTTGCGCTGCAGCGCTTATACCCACACACACACACGCATATTTGTATCCGTGTGCGTACGCGTGCGTGTGTTTATGCGTACGCACGCGTGTTTATGCACATTAATATGAAATTACTTACGCATTGCCGTGTGAACATCACTCACGGTGGCAGTGGACTTTTGACCTTTGACTGTACATCAGCATCAGCAGCAGTCATCGAATATTAATCACAATAATACATCTATATACAAATAATTGAAACATTTTTAATGTGTGGGACAGCCATGCTTCGGCACTGCTAGGCCAGCTCGACCGGAGTGATAGCACCAACGAGTAGAAAACCATAGTGAAACAACCACAGCGATGTGTGCAGTCGTGTTAGGCCCAATACCCCCTGCCCCTTCCTCAATCCCTGAATAAATCCACAAATTCCTAGTCCCCATAAGGCCGGTAACGCACTTGTCACCTCTAGAGTTGCGTGTGTCCATGGGCGACGCCGATTGCTTACCATCAGGTAATCCGTCTTCTCGTTTACCGGCTTATCCCATTAAAAAACATTTTCGCGGATTGATACCACGGCCTCACAGGAAACCGATGTGAAAAGACGCTTGCGTTGTGTTTCTTTGTGTGAGTGATGTTACCGCAGGCCCAATCCTTCCATCAGCCCAAGGCCTTCGATCAACAGAGGGCACATATAGGCTGCAGATGATCATGATGATGAATCCTTCCTCCCCCCATCCTCAATCCCTAACTCCCATAGGGCTGGTAACGCAATAACTCCTCTGGTGTTGCGGGTTGCATGGCAATATTGTCCTAAATGTTCCAGATACTTCTGGGGCGCACTGACGGTGGCGGTGGTGTACGCGCTGCCTGTAGTACAACTACTCTTCACATACCAAAAGGTCAGTACTGTCTTAGTTATAGCCTATCACATACTCTGGGAGTGTGATCTCTGGCAATATATGAACGTAACACTATGTTGAATAATTTAATTGTTTCGTCAGGTGTAACTTATCAAACGAACCTTGTGGAGTCTAGAACAAATTTCCGTGCGTTTAGGCGCTTTTGCCATACCTATTATTGGAAGTATAACAGCTCACACATAGGACCCACTTGGTTTATAGTCAATTTGCCGTGGTGCTTGGCGACTGGGCTTCACCCAGTTGTACAGTCTCTTCTTTGTGCCTTTAGGTTTAATTCATTCTGTCTCCTGCAGTATTTCGCCGAGGGAAGTGGAAACTGTCGTTTTTATTCTCCTCCTCTTATAATATCTTCTGATTCATTTCGTTGCGAGAACCAAGACGGTCATGTCCCTGAGACGCGCCGGACTTCAGTGTTCCGGTGTGTTCATCTACTGTAGATCCTGGTTTATAGGAGTTGCAACGGTTTTGACAGGTTGTTGCGGGCATGACCCTTCGTTCCTTAGATTAGCGCGTTTAAAAAAATAAGAAGTTGTCAAAGAATATTTATTATTTTCTCACGTAATGTTTTGATGAAGTAACTCGACAAGTTTCAAGCGAGGTGCGAGCTCATAAACATTGCACTACCAGCGCTCTTCAGTTATTGATTTTGGCTTTAATTTGTGAGTTACGACAGAATATTCTTGGAATGGTTACGAAAACTATCAACCAAAAAAAATATCAGTAGCATAAAATGATTAACCAAATCCCCCCCCCCCTCCTTTCCCCCATTTCCAGATGGTATTCCAAACAGGTGACCAGGACCTCTGTTACTACAACTTCCTCTGTGCGCACCCTCTGGGGTTCCTCTCAGACTTCAACCACGTGTACTCCAACGTTGGCTACGTGGTGCTGGGCCTGGTCTTCATGGCCCAGGTCAGGCATCGACAGGTCAAGAACAGGGGGAAAGCGCAGGTGAGTTGTTTTGAACTGTATTGTTTTTGGTTTACGATGTGTTTTTGTTTGTCTCTCGATATGTTGATGGTATTTCACCACCATTACTCTTCATGTGGGTCTCGTACACCCGTCTAGGTATTATTACAACCTTCTAGTGCATGTAAGTTTCAGTTCAAGTAATTTTGTCACATATAAACAAACTAAATTAAGGTGTATGATAACGTGGTTAATTTGCTCTACCCTGCCACTATTACAAAAAGAAACTATATTAAGTAAAATCGCGGGTTACTCACGTGAATATACTGAGAAAAGCTCTACTAGTTTCGAACCACAGAGGGGTTCTTCCTCATGAGCAGCGTGCGCGGTCGCGGCGACGTCGCTTTTTACTTAATTTAGTATGTCTCACGATAGTTATTATAAAAACAAGAAATTATATTACATTATCTAATGTTATATAGTTTGTTTTTAACTTAGTTTCGTTTCTGAACTCGTTGAAAATTGTTGAAAATCATCCCCTAAATTTGTTCATACAAAAGTAGTCTCTAAACATTGGAAATAAGGTCTATAATGTAGTTAGTGGAGAGTGGTCACCGGTGACCGCTTGGGATAAGAACATTTTATATCTATAGTTTCTTTATATCTATAAAGTGTATTATATCTGTGTGGGCAGGATATGGGCGTCCCGCAGCACTACGGGCTGCTGTACTCGATGGGGCTGGGGCTCATCATGGAAGGCCTGCTCTCTGCCTGCTACCATCTCTGTCCTAATAAGATGAACTTTCAGTTCGGTATGTATTCAATGTTGTTGATATTTAATAATAACATAACATCACGCCTTTTTATACCCGAAGGGGTAGGTAGAGGTGCAAATTACAGCACTTAATGCCACTGTATTTTTTAATTATAAGTTTCGCCAATCTGTATTGAGCAAACGAGGTGATTAATGCTCAAACTTTCTCCGTGGGAGATGGTGCGTTTGCTCAGCAGTGGGCATTTATAGGCTGTTGATGAGAACCTTTCGCATTTTGGCATTCAAATCTATGAATTGGTCAATTGGCGTAATTTTATTCGCCGCTTTCTATATTTGGCACATAATCTACGCTTTTAACATTGAAATAAAGAAGCAAAGTTTTCAACATTCTAAAATTGTAGACATATTTGAAGTAATCATTTTTTTATGAATTTGCGACTATTTGGGCCACGATCTATGTTTTAATGACTTTTATATCGACTGTTGGAAGCGACCTTTCATGTAGGTGCTATTTGTAACCTTCACCAATTTATGAAAGTCAACAGGGGAGGCCTTAGTTGCACAGTAGACCGTAGTCTTATATGATGATGACGATTAACTTAAAATATTTTCAACATTGGACTATTGGATCTAAGATTATGCTTACGTTGCTTATTATATTATATTATAAAGAAAGGAAAGGAAGAAAGAAAAGAAAGATAAAAAAGAATTTAGTATATAATGCATGTTGTGCTTACCGGTATTTAAGCTATAGTAAATGTAACCCTGTGTTGTATCAGTGTAAACAATACGGATGATGACGGGATATGAAAATTTTAAATATAATTAGTCCGTCAGTTAGGTAATGAAAAAATATTAGAAACGTATTTTTTATTTTGTCGTCAATCAAAGTTTAGGAATGGGGGCCAAAATGTCGGACTTATTGACTAATTATATTTTTAATTTTCATACCCAATGAACCCATATCATCATCCCCATTACCTTCTTATTATTATATTCCAGACTCGTCGTTCATGTACGTGATAGCAGTGCTGGTGATGGTGAAGTTGTACCAGAACCGTCACTCCGACATTGTGCCCAGCGCTCACTCCACGTTCATGGTAATCGCCGTCGTCATGACCATAGGTGAGTAGTGGCAGGGTAGTGCACGCAGCCCAGGGTGGAGTGATACCACGGCTGACCAGAAAACGTATGTGAACCAACGCTTGCGTTGTGTTTCGTCGTGTATGTAAGATTTTTGGAGGCACAATTACGCCCCCCCCCCCCCCCCTTCATTATTACCCCAATCCCTGTATCCTCAATAATCGTCAAATTCCTAATCCACAAAAGGCCGGTAACGCACTTGTAACATGTCTAGTGTTGCGGGTGTCTATGGGCGACGCCGATTGCTTATCAAAGAAAGAAAGAAAGAAAAAACATTTATTCAGCACCAGGCACGATGCAGCATAAATAAAATGTAAAAAAGACAATAAAGGTGTGACAGTGGAAGTAACAAAAACATTGAGTTGAAAAATTAAAACAGAAGAATTAGAATTTATTATTATTACATTGCGGTGACAGCGTTGTGCACCGCGCTCCCGGTTTTTAAATTTAATTTGAGGAATTCCGCGTTATATCGGTCTAAATATGTGTGTATAGTGAACTATTTATGTTGTATCACATGTACTAAGTGTAGGACAGTGTTAAATTCAGTGATTATTGTGACTGTAAGACAATTTAGTGCACGTAAATAGTGATACGCATGTGCATGGCGCGAAGTATCGCGAGCCGTGCATCTTACTCTTTCACTCCTGTGTGTGACACTTAGCTTTGTCTCGCTCGCGCGCTTTACCCACGCTGCCCGCTTTGCGTGCACACATTCATAATGATTTGCTTTGCTTGCAATAAAAAAATTGGTTTGGGAGATCAACTGAGATGTACTGGATGCAAGACAGTATATCATTATACCTGTCTTAATATTACAACGGCTACATTCACTGAACAAAAAACCCAGTTGAAGAGTACCTACAGATGTGATTCCTGCTCGAACATAACACGTCGGGTACATGTGACCGACGAGACACCTGTACGTGGTTCCCGCTCAGGAGGAAGGGTGATAGAAGAAGAGTTAACTAAGAGTAGTGAAGAGATTATTACGGAAAAAAGTACGCCATTGGCAAATAATATGATGGATAATATGCAAAGTATTACGGATATATTAAAAGGAATAATATCCTCCAGGTTGAATGATATTGAAATAAAATTGATTCAAGAGATTAAAACTTCAGTAGCTAGTTTGGTTTTAGAAAATAAAAAACTGAGAGAAGATTTGAGTGACGCTTATAAAAAGTGCTCTTATTTAGAAGAGGAAGTTAAAGTTCTCAAAAATGGGAAAAATATTACTACGCAGCAGAATGCTTGTACCACATTCGTACAAAATTCTTTACATAGTCCAACTACTAAAGAAGCTTCCACCACGCAGACGCAGTCATCACGCGCTGTTTCCGGGATATTGCCGGCGAACCCGAGAGCGAGATCGCCGCTGCCGTCGCCGGCCGCTTCGATCATACCTACGACCGCGGCCGCGGCCCCGGCAGCCCGAGCGACAATCGCGTCGACGCGCGCCTCGGCTCAGCTGGGCGATACCTACGCGGAAGCGGTGGCCAGAAAAACAGCGGTAGCGGAAACGGGTGCGCATAACACAAATGATACATGGAATGAAGTAACAAATAGGAGAAGAAATAATCCAGTAAAAATAGGTGGTAATACTTCAGTTACATTGTTGAAGGCAGTAGAACGGAAAAAATATTTACACGTGTGGAGATTGGATAAAAATACTACAGAAGATAACATTAAGAAACATATTAAAAATATAATAGGAGATAGCTCAGAATATAAAGTAGATAAAATAAAAACAAGAACTGAAAGGAATTACTCTTCGTTTAAAATTGGTTTATTGGAAAAGGACTTTGTAAAACTGTGTAACCCGGATGTTTGGCCCTTAAATGTAGAGTTTAGCGAATGGATTTTTTTTCACCGTCCAAATCCAAGCACTTCAAATCATCCAAATACACAGGAGACACAGTGATACCGAAATATTATAATATTTTGTATCAAAACGTAAGGGGACTAAGAACTAAAACAACACAGTTTTTATCATTACTAGAATCTTCTGCTGCTGACATATTCGCTATTACAGAAACGGGTTGTAACGAATCAATTTGCGATTCAGAAATTTCGTTGCCGGGATATCAGATTTTACGTTGTGACCGGGCGGACGGCCGCAAGCACGGCGGCGTGCTTTTAGTGGCCACACCGCGTTTTGAACTGCGACGACTACAAGTACCAGGTGATATTATTATTGACTCTCAACAATTCGAACTAATATGTGCAAGTGTTTATAAACATAATAGGTTTTTATTTGTATGCTGTGTGTTGTATATACCACCTAAGGCAAATGAGACTGAGTACATGGTAATGTTTAATATATTGGAGAAATTTTGTATTAAGTATAGAAGTAATATAGTTATTTTAGGAGATTTTAATTTAGTTTCGTGCAATAGTATTGTTAATAATTATTTTGAATATTTTGTTGCCTTCTGTGAGGTCACTCAGTGTAACATGGTACCGAATTGCAATAACAGACAACTGGACCTTGTGTTGAGTGGGCGCAGTGGCGTGTTAGTGTGCGCGGCGGAGGAGGGGTTGCGGCCTGTGGACGTGTATCACCCGCCGCTCGCGGTCGCCGTGGACGTCGCCACGCAGGCGCAGTCCTCGCCGGTTCTCAATTCGGCGGCGGCCGACTTGGCGCATGCGCAGGACTCGCAACACCTTAACCCATATAAACGTTGGAACTTTCACAAGGTAGACTTCAATTATTTATATTATTTGATAGGTAGAATACACTGGGAAGAAATGTATAGTATGCAAGTTCCTGAAGAGGTTTTAAATTTCTTCTATACAAAGATGAACGAAGTCTTTGATACCTGCGCACCTATTAAAAAACAGAATAATCGTAACAATAGATATAATTATCCAGTATGGTACACATCGGATATTATTAGGGATATTAAAACAAAGTATTTACTACACAAAAAATATAAGGCCAGTAGAAATTCTAGTGATTATGAGCAGTTCTCTCGGTACAGAGCGAAGATTAAGATGGAAACAGAGCTAGCCCACAATCGGTACAGGGACCGCGTACAGAACCATCTGGCCAATGACCCTAAAGCTTTTTGGAACTATATACGACTGAAAAGGGGAAACTCTGGTCAAAACACGATATTAAAAAATGGACAGGTGCTATCGGGGGAAGAATGCGCGGAGGAGTATGCCCGATACTTTCAAACTGTATATAACACAGAGCCGGCAACACTGAGCGCAGAAGCGGCGAGTTGCGCCGCATCGCCAAGTGGCGCGTGGGCGCATCTCGGCACGCTGGAGCGGGCGGCGGTGAGTCGTGCGCTCGCTCGTCTACCACCTAAGCGATCAGTGGGGCCGGATGGTATACCACCTTTTATACTCAGGGATTGTCGCATGGTTTTGGTCGAACCATTACTACATTTATTTAACATCTTTATTGCAGTTGGGAGGTTTCCTGACCCATGGAAACTTTCTCGAGTCGTACCCGTACCGAAAGGTGGTGGAGGTACAAATGCCAGCGACTATAGACCTGTGGCAGTCCTATGTGCTCCAGCTAAGGTTTTCGAGTCAATAATCCATAACCATCTATATTCTCAGGTAAGCGCCCACCTGACTGATGCTCAGCACGGCTTTCGCCCCGGTCGGGGAACAACGGGCAACTTAATGCAGTTGATGACGCAAGTGGTGCCTGCAGTTGATGCTGGTCGGCAGGTGGACGTAGCTTACCTAGATTTCAAAAAAGCATTTGATACAGTTGATCACGATGTCCTCCTTAGGAAACTTGCCGGAATAGGCTTTACGCTACACACTCTTAAATTCTTTTCCACATACTTTGGAGACAGGCGCCAATACGTGGACTGTGGCGGGTACTATTCTGAGCCGTATTACACGAGGTCCGGGGTGAGCCAGGGCAGTAACTTGGGTCCTTTACTGTTTAATTTAATGATAAATGACCTACCAAGCATAATAAAAGGATCGATATGCCTACTGTTTGCAGATGACCTAAAACTTATACACGAAATAAGGGATAACGAGGACCATGTTAGTTTACAACACGATATTGACAGAGTCATTGAGTGGAGCCGGGAATTCAAGTTGTATTTCAACGTTGCTAAATGCTCAGTTCTGTCATTCACTCGTGCAAGCAGCCCCCGTCACCACCGATACTGCATGGAAGGTGAACTGTTGCAACGCGTTACGGAGGTGAAAGATTTAGGAGTCCATTTTGTATCAGAGCTACACTTCAGGAAACACATTATGGATGTCTGCAAGAAGGCATACCGCAATCTAGGTTTTATTTTACGTCAGGCAAACGAGTTCAATAACAACGCAGCTTTAAGGGCGCTCTATGAAGCTTTAGTTAAAAGTCACTTGGAGTGTAACTCTGGTATCTGGAGTCCACATGAGGACAAATATAAGTTCATGATAGAACGAATCCAAAATAAGTTTGCCAGATTCATGTATTCAAAATCGTACGGTATATACCCTGGATACCCAATACCATATCCAACTTTGTTTGTACTGGGTATGGTAGGATACTACAAACTGGAGGTGAGGCGTGAAGTAGGTCTAGCTACTTGTATGTTTAAGGTGTTGCGAGGTATAACGCACCACCCTGCCCTACTGGAGGAATTACACCTGTGTGTTCCGAACGAGTACGTGCGGCGTAGGCGGCGGCCGCGGCTGCTGGTGGTACCGTGCGCACGCACGAACCTCTTGCAGAAGGCACCAATGACGCGAGCGTTGCGCATATTGAATGCAATAGCGGACAGTACGGATATATTCTCGTGTACACTCAACGAGTTCACAAAGGTAGCATATGAGGTTATTGTGAATAATAACTAAGTTCCTAGGGTTGGTACTTATTTGATTCTATTTATATAATTTATGTTGTTAGTACCTAGGTACATAGATTTTAAAATATAAGTACCTACATATTTGTTATTACTAAAGTTATTTACGTTTATTAGGGATAGTTTTGTGGAAATGTATTAGCCTGTAAGTTTAATTAAGGTTCTTTGTGCTTATGTTCTTTTATTTTTCTTTGTCTAAATTATTTTACGGTTATTACCCGGATATTGTGTTATAAGTTTACTAATAATATGTAACTGCATTTGTCGTATTAGGTGTGCCTGTAATGATGTAATGTTTAAATATAAATAAATAAATAAATAAATAATAAAATTATCATCAGGTGATCCGTCCTCGTTTACCTGTTTATCCCATAAAAAAAAATTATAACGAATAGTGTTTTGTCTCTGCATCGTCCAAAAGTCTGGCTGAAAGAAGATGTCCATGGCATTTGCATGCATAGCAAGCCTTTTAAAAAAATAAAATATTTAAATAAAAAAATATTTTCTGTACCAGGTCTGTTCGGCATCCTATACCCGAGCGTACCGTTCTCGGTGCTATTCACAATCCTACACATGCTGACCTGCTTCATACTCACACTGAAGATTTACTACGCCGGCAGGTTCAAACTGGGTAAGCATTACTCATATACCGGAATATTGAAACGCTACTCAATTTTAAGTCGTACTTAAGACTGCCGATAAAAAACTGTTGAAGGTAAATCCTCCGCTAACGCGCGTCACCGGTGACCCCCATGGCGTTTAACGTGTTAAGTATAGTTCTATCTCTACAAACTTTTTGTAAAATGACAAAGATGGCACGATATTTGATTATTGTCGTCGCCGTCGTCGTCAAATATCGTGCCCCTATACCCTATTATTTTATCCGGACTTTTATTTTACGTCTGTAAAAATTCAAAGCAATCGGTTTAGAAGTTACGGCGTGAAACCGGAACAAACAAATAAACTCACTTTCCGATTTATAATATTAGTAAGGATAGTAAGGATTAGTAAAGTTTCCCGCGCAAAGAGTGGTAACGTTCGATTCTGGTGGGAAGTTGGGCGAGCACCGCGCTGTGTTCTTATAAGATCGGTTTAGAATAAACTTTTCAGTATTCAAGTATTGAGTTTTACTTAAAAGTACTTTGGAATAAAGTCTATTAATATGTTTTTTAGTTTTGACCATTCTCCAAGTAAGTTAGCCGTTAGGGTTGGCAAATTGGCACTGAGTTTAACCACGGAGAAATTGATATGTAATCCTCTATAGTCGACTAAGGACAGGATGATACAATGTTCTTAGTTGGTTGTTATGATAGACGCCAGTATATGTTAGTGAAAATAAATCGCCGTCGCGCCGAAAACGACTTGTAAGATTACTTTACTTTAGCTAGCAGTGTGATTGTCCTGGATGTTCATATTGCTCATGAGTGTGAGAGCGTGTGAGAGTGACGTGCCTTATTCCAAAAAGTTAATGGGCGCGTGGTATTTTGCAGCCCGACGATACATAACATCTTCTCAATCGGTCCCTAGCGCAGTAACAGTGTCAAATCTTTCTGGGCGTAACGTATTGCTAACGAGCCTAGAAGCAATTATTAAAAAGTGCAAGACTATCGGGCAGTATTTTTAAAAAAATTGTTTATAGCGCGCCCACTCTAGGGTTAAGATTATTTTAGAAACATTCCCTCAGTCCATCAGCATTATAGTTTGATGGTACACGTTACACCCACAGAGTGGTCGGCGGCCACCCGCGGCGTGTCTGCGCTGCGGCGGGCGGGCGCGCGCGCACTGCGACCCGCGCACTCACCGCGCGCCGCGCTGCTCGCCGTCGCCTTCCTCGCCAACTGGGCCTTCGCGGTCTACAGGTACACACACAACTACACCGCTACACATGTATAGTCAACAATACCGCGCACTCACCGCGCGCCGCGCTGCTCGCCGTCGCCTTCCTCGCCAACTGGGCCTTCGCGGTCTACAGGTACACACACAACTACACCGCTACACATGTATAGTCAACAATACCGCGCACTCACCGCGCGCCGCGCTGCTCGCCGTCGCCTTCCTCGCCAACTGGGCCTTCGCGGTCTACAGGTACACACACAACTACACCGCTACACATGTATAGTCAACAATACCGCGCACTCACCGCGCGCCGCGCTGCTCGCCGTCGCCTTCCTCGCCAACTGGGCCTTCGCGGTCTACAGGTACACACACAACTACACCGCTACACATGTATAGTCAACAATACCGCGCACTCACCGCGCGCCGCGCTGCTCGCCGTCGCCTTCCTCGCCAACTGGGCCTTCGCGGTCTACAGGTACACACACAACTACACCGCTACACATGTATAGTCAACAATACCGCGCACTCACCGCGCGCCGCGCTGCTCGCCGTCGCCTTCCTCGCCAACTGGGCCTTCGCGGTCTACAGGTACACACACAACTACACCGCTACACATACGGCTCATCTAACACACCCCCACACACACAATCATAGGTACATATATAAAAATACACCCTTAATGACCCTTATACACAGACACCCTGTGTACACAAACTCTCTCATGTACACAACTTACTATTTTGAATTTAAAAACATCCTCATGGGAACTCATTTACAAATACTCGCACTGACACATTGCAAATACAGAACTTCCATCCCCAAAAATACACACATCATACACACATTCTCACTCACTTTAAACACATTTACCCCTGAAATCCCAAACACACGACTCCCAATCTCAAGCATATAACCCTCTTATACAAAAACACTTCTCATACACAAATAGGTATACCCATAATGCACGCTGCACATCTTACGGTGTACTGTGCAGTTCTAACTGTACAAGCCAAAGTCAAAGCATTTATTTCAATTAAACCATAGTTCACTACTTGAAACGTTAACAAATACAAAATAAATAATAGTCTGTCAGTCTCAGCTAGGTCATCATCAACAGCCGGAAGACGTCCACTGCTGGACAAAGGCCTCCCCCTTAGCCCTCCACGTCGAACGACAACTCGCCACCCGCATCCACTGGCTCCCCGCAACTCTGGCGATGTCGTCGGTCCACCTAGCGGGAGGCCTGCCCACGCTTCGTCTTCCGGTCCGTGGTCTCCACTCAAGGACTTTCCTGGCCCATCTGCCGTCAGTCCTTCGAGCGACGTGGCCTGCCCATTGCCACTTCAGTCTGCAGATTTTGCGAGCTATGTCGGTAACTCTTGTTCTTTGGCGAATCTCCATATTTCGGACTTTGTCGCGCAAAGAAACCCCGAGCATAGCTCTCTCCATCGCACGCTGAGCGACTTTGAGCTTCTCCAGAAGGCCAGAGGTCAGGGACCACGTCTCGGTACCATACGTCATCACCGGCAACACACACTGGTTGAACATCCTGGTCTTTAGGCACTGAGGGATTTTCGATGAGAAGATTTCGCGTAACTTCCCGAACGCTGCCCATCCAAGTTGGATTCTTCGGGCGACCTCTTTGTCGAAATTGGACCTACCTAGCTGTATAATCTGCCCTAAGTATGTGTAGTGGTCTACAACTTCGAGGATATCGTTCCCAACGATGACCGGTACAGGTGCAACATGGACGTTTGACATGATTTTGGTCTTGTCCATGTTCATTTTAAGACCCACCTGTTGGGAGACGATATCGAGGTCGCTGAGCATGGTGTTTAAATCCTCCAGCGACTCCGCCATGATGACTACATCATCGGCGAAGCGGAGGTGTCTGATGTATTCGCCATTGATATTGATGCCCAGTCCACTCCAGTTTAAAAGCTTGAAAACGTCCTCCAATGCGTTGGTGAACAGTTTCGGAGAAATCACGTCTCCCTGTCTCACGCCTTTCTGCAATTGGATTGGTTCCGTGCTATCTTCCTGGAGTCGGATGCGCATGGTGGCGTTTCTATACAAACACTTTAGCACCTCGATATATCTGTAGTCGATATGGCATCGCTGGAGAGACTGCAGCACCGCCCAGGTCTCGATCGAATCAAAGGCTTTTTCATAGTCCACAAACGCCAAGCATAGTGGCAAGTTATACTCCTCAGTCTTCTGTATAACTTGCCGCAGCGTATGAATGTGGTCTATGGTGCTAAAGCCTTTCCGGAACCCGGCTTGTTCGGGAGGCTGGAAGTCATCAAACCTGCGTTCCAGACGGTTCGTGATAACCCTAGAAAACAGCTTATATACATGGCTCAGAAGCGAGATGGGTCTATAGTTCTTCAACAAAGAGTTGTCACCCTTCTTGAAGAACAGAACCACTACACTCCTTTGCCATGCTTTCGGCGTAGTTCCTTCGAGAATGACGGAATTGAATAGTTTCTGGAGGACTAAAAGTATCGGTTTTCCACCCGCTCGCAGAAGTTCTGTTGTGATTCCGTCATCACCCGGTGCCTTGTTATTTTTGAGCTGTCTGAGAGCCATCCTAATCTCATACAGGCTGATGTCTGGGATATCCTCGGTATAGTGCACTGTCAGTTTAGCTCTAGGATCCCGAGCTGTACCGACAATGGGTTGCCGTGTCGAGGTGTATAACTGTCCGTAGAACCTTTCAAGCTCTCTCAGAATCTCTGGCTTCGACGAAACGATGCTGCCATTTTCGGTCTTCAGTTTCGTCATTTGGCTTTGCCCAACAGACGAATTCCTTGCGAATACTTTTGCGCCCTGATTTCGCTCTATGGCATCCCTGACTCGTGCGGCGTTATATGCACGCAGGTCGCGTCGCATAGACTTTGAAATTCGCCTATTAAGTTTGCCATATCCAGACATGTCAACTGAAGACTGCAGCCTCATCTCGTGTCGGTCTTTCAATAGTTTAAGTGTTTCTTTCGAGAGCTTTTGAGGTCTATTTCGGCGTGGGTTTTTGAAAAACTCTGAGCCCACCGTTTGGACAGTTTCCACTAACCCATTATTTAACTCGTCAATCGTTTCACACTCAGCCAGGCACTGGAAGCGATTATGCAGTTGGAGCTGGAACTGTTCGGGGTTCTGGACCTGGGCGCGACCAGGACGGAGTGTGGACCTCACCAGGCGTGACCTCTCCAGCTTGACATTGATATTCAGTGTGCCTCTGACAATACGGTGATCGCTGCCGGTTTTCACCTTAGCTATCACAGAGACATCACTGAATATGCGCTTGTCGGTCGCCATGATGAAGTCGATCTCATTTTTGGTGTAACCATCGGGACTTATCTCAGCTAGGTGCTCGTTCCAAAAGATTCGAATGAAGAAGAACGAAAGAAACTCCAATTTAAAAAACAATATGTTCTACAATGTCTCTGATACATATGATACAATACTGCACGCATATGTAAGAACAATGCAAAGACACGCTTGACGCATTATACTAATTACTAAACTTACAAAAATCAAAAAACAAATAAAATAGAAATATCTCATAGTCTAACATGGCTCACAGTTCAGACGACACGTGTACAGATAAATCCTAAGGTGAGTAGCGTGCATAACTTTCATATACCTAAATCGCAATAACTAACTTTCTTCGACCCTACATCGCAATAAGAAAATGAATGCATGTATTTACTTAAACTTATTTACGTTTTACCAAGTAAATTTACTCGTTATTTCATCCTGTCTTTAGTCTTTGTTACCGTAAGCTTTAATTGTAATAGGGTAGTTTCCTAAATTTTATTTGAATGTCCGTCTGGTAGATTAATTTAAACGTTCGACACGTATTTTTTCTTTTCTTACAAAATTAAATAAATACTATCGACGATATATCGATTTGAAATATCGTGTGACGTCACAGCGTGCTACATTATGTTGGACGCTCTGACGTAACGACCCCCCACTACTAAACTTAACGCCATTTTATCTTAGTATTGTAACTTTATACGAGACGATAAAAAAATACGTGTCTAATATTTTTTCATAATCTAACTGACGGACTAATTAGATTTTTAATTTCTCTTCCCTGGCAAGTACCATAAAGTGTGAACTTGAATTTTGAAGCAGATATCTTCAACCAATTGAGCTGAAATTTGTATACACTTTTTTTATGGTAAAGCCGGTAAACGAGCAGACGGATCACCTGATGGTAAGCAATCCATGTCGCCCATGGACACCTGGAACACCAGAGGCGTTACAAGTGCGTTACCGGCCTTTTGGGGATTAGGAGTTTGAGGATTGTTGGGGATTCAGGAATTGGGGAGATTGGGGAAGGGGAGAGTAATTGGGCCTCCGGTAACCTCACTCACACGACGAAACACAACGCAAGCGTTGCTTCACGTCGGTTTTCTGTGAGGCCGTGGTATCACTCCGGTCGAGCCGGTCCATTCGTTCCGAAGCATGGCTCTCCCACACTTAGTTTGCATGCCCATAAATGCTTGTTTGTAAGACAGTTTTTGATTTATGTTATTACTTTTTATTTGACCCTGTCTAGCGCGGTAGTCCAAAACAAAGATTTTGCTCGTCAACTCCTAGCTATACTGATGGGGAACGCGATCCTATACACGATGTTCTACGTGGCTATGAAGCTCCTACATGGGGAGCGACTGGCCCCCCACACGTGGCTGTACGGGGTGCTGGCCCACGCTGCGTGGTTCGCGGCGCTCAAGCTGTTCCTCGACTCCAAGACTAAGTGGTCGGTTAGTACATGTTGGTTTATTTCAAACATTGTTTTAAATTTTCATGTTATTTTCTAGGCAAGGAAATTTTTTGACGAATAGTATTGAAGAATTGTCTATATTAATACAAAGTTTACTACACTGGAATATTAAAATACTGGAACTGTGCCCGGTATATGGCAATAGGCTCACCCCCTATTACATTGGACTCATAACATAAAATAATAGAGAAAAGGGTATTACATAATACAGTAGCATTAAGTGCTGTAATGTGCACCTCTGCCTATCCTTTCGGGGATAAAAGGCGTGATGTTGTGTTATGTTATGTTTACTACAATCTTGGGGGGGGGGGGTTCTCTGTTTACCAAATTGCGCTAATGTACCATGAGATCCCTTCTTGGCTTGTCCAGTCACTGTAGTTACCATCGTGTAAACTCTATCGTACAATATTTTATCCCCGCAGGAAACTCCGGCCCAGTCGCGTCGTCACAACGCAGAATGCTCAATCCTCCAGCTATACGACTCCCACGACGCCTGGCACCTTCTGTCAGCGGCCGCCATGTTTCTATCATTTAATATGCTGCTAACTATTGACGACCTCGTCGCTAACGTACACAGAGATAATCTACACACGTTCTAGAGAAATGTATACAGTGTATAGAATTGTATACATTCTCTAGAGAATGTATAGTGTATACAAATGATTTAATACTTGTATACAGCTTAGAAAATTGTATACATTCTAGAGATTGTATACATATTATTTAACAGCCGAATTCAGAGATATTTATGGTTACATAACCTAATTTTTTTGTGTGAAAAATCTTCGAATGTCTGCTTCAACACCACCCAGTTCCTACTACTACTGCATAGAGCCGGAGCCCGGTAACCCGGTAGGCCGTCCGGAACTTACCGTTTTCGAAACAAAAGCATTGCTAAGGAATTCAGTAATCATTAAAAGTCTTTGAGTACGACTGTATAACTTTAATACAGTTAGACATGTACAATTATTAATGAATACACTATATAACATGTATACTCTTATTATGTATACTTTCTAGAGACATGTAGACAATCGGATTTTAAAATTCTAAGATTAAGAATGTTTATTTGCAGTAAGTATGAAATGTGATTCTACAGAGTTAAATGTATCGAATTGTCTACAGATAGTATACATACTAGAGACTTTTATTTGTTAATATTATGTTGTATAGAAACTCACTAGCGATTGTATACACTCTAGAGAATGTATACATCCACTCTGAATAATGAATTGTATATATCTTGAAACATTTTAACCCAAACACTGACTGCCTCGTTGGCCGAGTGGTTGCAAGTGCAACTGCTGGACAAGGGGTCGGGTTTGATTCCCGGCTCTATTGAAAATTCTCAGTAGAAGCATGGAGTCTGATATCGTGCCCGGTATATGGCAATAAGCTCACCCCCTATTACATGGGACTTATAACATAAATAATGAAAAGTGAGTGTTACATTGTGCAGTGGCATTAAGTGCCGTAATGTGCACCTTTGCCTACGCCTTCGGGGATAAAAGGTGTGATGTTATGTTCAATCCAAACATTAATGTTTTATACAACAGACTAACCAGAATAGTATTATTAGCATTCAAATGACATTTTCCATCTCACTCACACATAGAAAGTACATAAGACAAACAGAGATAGAGATAGTTCATATTGTAGTAACAAATATATATTTGTATGATATTTAAGTTATTTAAGGTTTTAAAAACAAAATGATGACGTCACTAAGAATATTTTTTTTAATTTTTAGGAATATTTAATTATTTTAGGGGGCGTCCATACATTACGTGAGGTGTTTTTATTTAATTTTATTCCCTCCTCCCTCCCCCTGGTGAGATTTCGTGAGATTTCATTCAATACCCTCCCCCATACCCCAATCGGAATTTTTCAAAATGTTGTTATTTCACGTAAACGCGTTGTATTGTTATTACAAAAAGAAAAGAAAAAAGCTTCGTACTTTTGTTTACGACTAGTTAAGATTAAATGAGATTTGAGTCTACCCCCTCCCCCTTAAATATCTCACGTAATATATGGACGCCCCCCTTACTCTAAAGATTCTTATGTTAGTGTTATATTGTAGCCGAAAAGAAATACTTTTATGATTGACAATTAGGAACTGTAATGCTAAGGTAATAAAGATCATTTTTCGTTATTTATACGTTTTCTCGGACGTATTGACACTCGAACATCAACTTTATAGTAATAAGAATAAGGTACACATTGTTTTAACTTCATGTATTTATTTCATGATTTTCGATAAGTAATTTTTTTCATGTATATGATCAATTTTGTGTCTTATGCTGTAGATGTTAAGGTTGAATTTAACAACTAAAGTATATCTGTCAAAAATGTTACCAAATAAATTCTATGGTGCGAGCTAAACTTATGAAGTCGAGTTAAAAAGTGCTTTTAAATGTGTAAATTTATTTAAAATATAAACTTACTAACAATACAGATGGCTGCATATCAAAATACACCATTTCGTAAAAAAAACTGCTGATTTACGCTACGCGGGAATCGAACCCGCAACACTTTACGTAGCAGCTGATTATTCGGTTAATACACCAATCACTCAGTTGCATTTTTTATGCAACTGAGTGATTGATTATTTTTTTATAAAAATCGTATATATTGATGTGCTGTTTTCTATGTACAATAATTTGTAACAAAATATTGACGCTGGTGTGAATAAAGAACATTTACGTAATATCGTTGATATACGAATGACTATATCAATAAAATTCCGGGTATAACCTGGGTGTCTTCAAGGCCCGAGTGAATAGGTTGCTTATGGGACGACGTGCTCCATCGTAGACCGCATCATCGCTTACCACCAGGGCCTTTAGCCAAACGCCACTTTAGCGCTTGTCTACAGAGTAGAAAACTAAATGTATGGGGATGACATTGACAAGTGTCAAAATTTACGTCAATTCCATAAATATAATTTAGTTTTCTATTCTACATGTAGACAAGCGCTAAATGGCATTTGGCTACAGCTGCAGGCGAGATAGAGGACAGATGTCGGCCCATCAAATATAAAAAAAGATTATGTTGCCAGAGTCAAAAATTTTAGCACCAAATGGGAAATTTTTAAATATCAAAATTATCGGTTCACTTTTACATGGGATTCATATAATAAAATTGAGTGTTAAGTTAAATAAATACATAAATGGTTTGTCTGTTTAGCTTTTTGGAAAATATATGACGCGATTTTATAGATGTTACTAAAAAGTGCGATAAATATAATAAAATGACAAATAGTGTGTAAGCTTCTTAAAATTGAATGAATTGTAGCGGTTTTTCTTAATATTGACATGAAAATAAAAAAAATCATTCTACTTACATTAAGAAAGTAAAAATAATAACCTATATTAAATTTAGTTATTGACGTCTCTCTCTTTCATTTGCTGTCAGTAAGAGAGGACGATAGTAAAATTATTATAGAAGGAAGAGGCTGTGATTTCCCTATTGTTTCTCTTCTCGAATGCTTCATCATACGCCGTGATCTCTATTTAGTTTTCGTCCCGAAGTAAAATGGTTCTATCTCAGTAATACAATGGTTTTACAAAGAAATAAAATGTTTAAAACAAAAAGTAACTGGTGCACCATTGCAGAATGCAAACTTCGAAAGCGCATACGAACTCATAGTACATTATCAAAACATCTCGCCATGTAATTGTCGAAGAGGTATTTCTCGTCGGGCGGCACGTGCGATGCGAATAGTGCCTACAAATATACGTCTAGTGTTTCATGTGCGTATTTCCATAAATATTTTTATTAAAACAAAAGAAAAAAATGACATCTTTATTTTTTGTTTTTACTTTATACATCGAAAGCACTCCTTACGGCAAGTTGTTATGCCGCGGGACAAAAACGAAATAGATTTCATTGTGTAGTATTATTTAGTATTGTTTGATAGAAAGATGAAATTATACTAAAGTTTGTAAGTTGTCAGCCAAGTGGTTTAATAAACAGGTAAGAAAATAAATATTGCTTCAGTACAGAGACATTAACTATTGTTATACTAAAATATATGGTACTAGCCTTAACCCTCGGCTTTGCGCGCGTATTTGTTTTATCCCATGAGAGCATTTAATCGGGATAAAAAGTATTCTATCACCAAAGTCAACCCATACCCTGCCTGTATACCAAATTTCATCAAAATCCGTTGTCGTAGTGGCTGGGCAACTGACTGCTGCGCACCGTGTCGCGGGTTCGATTCCCGCACGAAACAACTCTTTGTGTGATCGATCAGTCACAGATTGTTGTTCCGTGTCTGTGTGTGATGTGTATGTGAACTTGTATGTTTGTAAACACACACACGACACACGAGGGAAATCCTAGTGTTGGGTAACATTTATTTTCTTACCTGTGTATAAAGAACTTGACTAGATGTATATAGTGATATACTAGGTAAGTAGTGATTTATTATGTCGATTAACTATCAGTTGCCTCGTGGCTGCATTTACTGTTAAATAAGTACCACACGCAGTGAAACAGTAGCTGTTGTGGTGGTTAATGTGCTCAAGGCCTAAGTACGAGCGAGTACGCGTTCTGATTGGTTGGTTCATTGGACTCTACCAATCCAAACGCCGAACGCGCTCGATACTCTTTTGTTACGAATGCGATACTTATTTGTGCTTGGCACCCAGGTACTAAGGCCGCTGTCCTCACCATACGGTGGATTTTTGCCAAGTAATGCCTCAGTTCACCAACCTCTTGTAAATTTAAAGCAACCCCTAAACTAAGATAGGTGACTCTTAATGACATGGTTTTCGTCAACTTACCTGTGACACGTAACGATAAGGTGTGTTCCCTTACAAAAGTAAATCTTAGTTATGACATGGTTTATGGGTTGGTTGGTCAAAATGGTCATACGAGTCGTAAATCTGAAATTGTTTATATCGATAGTTAGACATATCAAGTTGTCTTCCCTATGAAGGTAGACCGCTGGCTTCCAAGTAGGTATCAATTTCAACTTTCTGTCAAAATTAGTGTTAGAAATATAGGTCTTAAGTTTTGTAACTAGTTTTATGTGAAAATGCGTTGCTCCATGAACATTTTAATAAAAAAGACGTGGCTAATATTATTTCATGCGTTTTATTTCATTTTAAACACCTTTTTAAAGGGGCGGAAATCGTCGAATGGCTTCTCCCGCCTGGGTGAGGCGGGAGGGAGTGTAAGACTCTTACTGACTAAACACCACCCTGTTCCCACTCCTGCACTTCGAGCCGGAGCCCCGGCAACCCGTTTATTCCTCAGCGGCTCCGTATCAGCATCAAGCCTACTGGGCCCCATCCGTGGTGGTCTGATGGATCTAATTTTAAACACCTTATCAGTGACGTAAACTATACAACTATACCGTTCGGGGCCCGTGGCAAATTAATTCATCGAATGGGTCCTTTTACAATAAAAAACAGACAAGTTCAGATGAAAACATCTGATCTCTAGCTCGGGGCCCGTGGATTTTATCAACTTACTACCACCACCATGTAGTTACGCCATTGCCTGATAGGATCTAGACAGACGGATAGCATTTCAACTGCTATTGGAGTTCGGATGCAGTTTGAAGGCAATCGTATCACGACTGCAATTGAACTGCAAACTAAACGTGCATTACTATTGCAGTCATGACCAAACGGTTGCAAACCAAACGAGCAGACCAATTGTAGTTCTATTGTAGTCGTGCCAACCGAACTGCAATTTGTTGTTGGATTGCAGTTGAAATACGGTTCGTCTCTTTAGAGCCTTAGTATACCTACATTGATTTAAAAAAAAATCTTAAACCTACTCACTGAAAGAATTACTGAAACATTACACAAG